CACTACTGCTAACTGATAGGTAGCCACCAACTCCGGGCAGTCGGTGGGGTGTGAAAAGAGCCCACACACTGGATCTGGGAACAAAGTTGGAGGAAGGCGTCACGGGAGGAAGCATGGTGACTCAAACACAAACAATCTCTCGTCTAGCAACGTCAGACGACATTTACTTTATATTACTTCTCACACTGGGTGAATGACAATTCCACTGTTACAACATGAACACTGATACTTACAAAATTGACTAAATCAAACTGAATGGCTATATCGGCGGGGAACACTGTCTTGCATACCTGGGAGCAAAGTTGGAGGAAGGCGTCACGGGAGGAAATCCTCCGTCCACCCGGTGTTTATACCCGTGAGTTGCCAGACATGGCTATCTCACGCAATGACAAAATTCACAAACAAATCAACTGTTACACATTCAAAGATGACCCTCAGCTAACACCTTGAGATGCTTATACACCTCAATTAGGTCGCCCTTGCCCGTCTGTAGTATAAGCTAGGCAAGTTCAGGTGCTCCAATCTCTCAGGGTAGTTGAGGTGCCCAAGTGCAGGCACTAGTCTGGTGGCCCGCCTTTGAACATTTTCAACCAACTGACAGTCCCTAGTATATTTCGGGGACCAGACGGTGTGACAGTATTCCAGCTGGGGAAGCACTTCATTCATGAAGATCGTTACAGGAACGGACCATCTAGATATCTGAACGACCTTCTTATAAGACCCAATAATTTCTTTGCCTGATTTACTTTCTTCTCGCAATGGCCCGAGAATTTCAGCTCATTGTCAACATACACACTTAGGTCCTTCTTATTCAGTCTCAAATAGTGCAGTTTCTTTATCCCGTTGGGACATAAGATACGCCTCCTTACCGTTGGTACGCCCCTGGTGCATCCTCTTACACTTCGTGACTGAATCTCAGCAGCCATATCTTCGACCATTCTTGGAGCCCTCAAAGATCCTTCTGCAGCTCTTCACAGTCCGCATGGTTCTTGATTTCCCGAAATAACTTAGCGTCATCGGCAAACATTTGTATGGAGGAGTGTACAACGTCTGGCATATCATTTTATGAAACAATCAAACAACAGCGGGCCCAATACACTGCTCTGTGGTACCCCGCTTGTGACAGGTACAGATGATGATTTCGTACCATTAATCAACACACACTGCTTGCGGTCATGTAGAAAGTCTTCTATCCACGCTAGGACATTTCCCAGAATTCCGTACCCTTCCAGTTTGATTTTCAGCCTTTCGTGGGGTACTCTGTCGAAAGCCTTGGCAAAATCTAGGTATAAATTGTCGATATTACCACCCCGTTCCAGAATATGGGTCTAAATATCCAATACCCCGACATAAAACCGTGTTAGCAATCCTTTACAAGGTTGTTTCGTAGTAGATGTTCCATCGCGGCATCTCTGATAATACTCTCAAGTTCTTTACATATTATGCTGGTCAGGCTCACCAGTCTATAGTTGTTCGTGGAGTGACGATCGCCCTTCTTGAAGATAGGACTCACATAAGCCACTTTCCCATCACTGGGGACCTTTTGTTCATCCAGGTATTTACAAAACAGGATCTTCAGGGGCTCGGCAAGCTGGTTGCACAACTCTCTTAGCACTCTGGGATGCACCATGTCAGGGCCGGGACTCTTATGGACCTTTAGCTTTGACAGTTTATTTCTAATACCCTCTTCGGTGAACACAATGTGGGTCAGTGCTGTGTCGAACCGTCTGTCCTCAAATGCAGTAAGGTTAATCGCATCCTCTCTTGTGAACACCGAGGAAAAGAAGCTGTTCAATGCCTCGGTTTTATCCTGAGCAGAATCTGCTTAACTACCATCTTCAAGCCTCAGGTCTGATACTCCTACTCGCGTTTTTAATTTCGACTTTGCATAGCGGTAAAACGCCTTTGGGATTGACTTGACCTCGCTTGCAACCAGCCTCTGGAACTCCTTTTCACCCCTTCTACACTCTACCTTTGCTTGGTTTCTGGCTCTTGCATACATCCTCCTGTCCTGCACATCGTTTTACCCAACCCCCGTCTTGAATTTCACATTCCTAGAGGCACTGGGTTTGGTCTTAGGTATATATTTATCGATCAAATGGGTCACTTTACTAGTTAAGATATTCAGCGTAGTGTCTGCGTTCTTGTGCTTTAATGAGTCAGGCCAGTGGATACCCCTCATCTCTTCCAAAACCAAGTTGTGGTGGAAATGTTAGAAAAGATCCAGTAGTTGTTGAATGTGGGAAAAAAATAACAAAGTTAAATGGTATCTAAAACATCGATAATTTTGCTAAGAAGTCTCAGTCCTGATTTGAAATGTGGACACAGCGTCAACATTCCCAGAAGAAAACCGTATCTGATCCCGGTGCAACCTTGTCCTTGACGGATCTTCTGAAGCAGTGGTTTGTTTCCTGCTATACAAGAAGCTCTACTGATCTCTTTAGCATCCCCAGCCTCCACCTGTGCAGTAGAGTGGTCATTTAGCACAGCTGGAACGTGTCGAGACATGGTTTTAATTAACAATGTTAACTGAACGCTTGTCTGGATTGTACATGCTCAGCGTGCATCGCCAGAAGGTGTTAGAGTTGATAAGCGTCGCCTGCAGTATTTATTTAACCATTGAAAGTACGCTGTTAATGTTTTGAGCAAGTTACCATCATGACAGACTGCTAGCATTGGCCATCCCTAGATTATCAGGATTAATGATATAAAATTGGATATTTAAGTTACTTTTTAATGCTTAAGGTCAACCCTATGATAATTTGGGTGAATAATAATTTGGTGATAACATTAATAAGTGATATGCTGATCATACAGTACTCGAAAGTACTGTAACTCGATTCAACTTGATCATACGTTTTGAATAAACTGATGTCAGGTCTTGTCTTGTGTTCTTGCATCCCTCTGGAAAATATCCTGCTGACGCTCATGATGAGATATGATAAGCTTGCCTCTCTTATTGGGTAGATTCTCAGTATGGTTTTCATTCGTAAAGCCTCGATTAATCAGTGTATGTCACGGCATTTTCTTGTGTGTGTGTCTTACCGTAGAGTTTCACCTTAATTAACAATGGATATTTCACCAATGAGATTATATGGGGTATCACTACCGTAGAATATTACTCCACTTGCCGTCATTCCATGTGTTGTATACTTGATAAATGGTGATTTAATGACTTCCATTAATTTACAACAACCATCTAAGTTATTGGGAATACTTTATCATAACCAGTCAGCCATTATCTTTAGTAATTAATAAGATAGGATTCATAGATACAGGCAGATAATTGCACATATATTTATTTGACAAGGTTCCATGCACTGATTTACAATTTGCATGGGCACATGAGTCATTCACTCACACCATCATATAAATGATGTTGTAAAGAGGGAGTTTGTCAACCTGGAGACCCGACATTTAATTACACCATCATTGGTTGGCTTATCAGGGTCTCAGTCCCTTCACCGATCCTTTGACTTCACTGGGGAAACAACCACTAAGGTTCACTAGGCTGGCCTGGATTGCTCTTGTACCAACATGCCTTTAAAGGTGATTTTTTTTTATCCACCGGGAATCCGGGATGCACACAGTCTCGTATCACTGACAGTCCTAACTTCAGCGGACGGTGTTGCCACAGGAAAACTGAAGACTAGTGAGCAGCATGCTCTGAGGCCGACTAACCAATCTCAGAGCACGGAAAGTATCTATCAACTTCCATCGTGCAGTTTTCCTCTCCATCTTAAACAATACATTTCCGAACTGGTTGCTTTACTTAACAAATTTCGTAACTTATTTGGGGATTTTCCTTCGCGCTCTACTCTCACTTTCTTTTGTTACGTGCTTGGGCTGGACAATCTTTGTTGAGTCTGTATTAGAAATATCGTAAGACATTGACGCCTTTCTATATTAAGATGTTTACCTCTCTCGTGAGTCTCAAGAAGGACTGGGTGACTGAGAAGTATTCCATTCCTTATTTGAAACCAACACAAGGTGAACCCTGCGCCAGTAGAAACTGAATACTTCTGGCTGTCACAACACCAGAGATACAAACATGCCCTTACCACTGACGGGGAGAACTCAGGCAATACCCGGTATATAATATTGACGTTGTTTAGCTGCCAAGTGGGTCGTGAGCCTCCACTTGCTCAACACGGCATATATAGAATGAAAACGTAACGGTGGAGAGACCGAGGGAGAATAGCAGAGCCCATTCTTTCACTTGTTATACTTGAGGGACAGTTACAGGAGGAAACTCGCTTTCTTTTCACCCTGAGAGGTAAAGGGTCAAACTCCTCTTCACCTGGACTTCATTCTTATCCAGTCTCTCCTCAGGTAATAGCCGAAACTTATTGTTGAACGGCGTCCATTCTTGTTTTATAAGTGTGTGTGTGTGTGTGTGTGTGTGTGTGTGTGTGTGTGTGTGTGTGTGTGTGTGTGTGTCTTTGTCTGTCTGTCTGTCTGTCTGTCTGTCTGTGGTACCAAAGCCTGACCTTAATGGTATTTCAGATCATATGAAATTATTGACCTGTTGATTGTCCTTGCACCTTTTGTTTTTGTAAATTCAACTTCTAATTCAACTTATTAGTGTAGACGGTGGGCAACTAGTTTGGTGGCGGTTAGAGTTCATGCCACACTACAGTATGGCTGATGCCAAATAAGTCTCATGCCAAGTGTGAGATGTGAGGCGGTAACTGTGTTGTGAGTGACACATGCATCAGTGTGTTAAGTTCCCGAGGTCACGTCCTACTATTCATTGCCAAGATGTATCCGTGAGAGTCCGTGAGTGATCAGGTGTACCCATGAGTGATGAGTGACCAGGTGTATCCATGCGTGATGAGTGACCAAGCATATCCCTAAGAGTACAAACATAGGCAGCTCTATCTACTATGACTAACTGGTGGCCCTTGCCAAGAGGTTTAACGAGGGACATCATTCCACTTTTTTCAGTCAAATAATGCTGGTCTTACGACGTAGTTGGGTAGGGATAAATAAAAGCAAGGACATTTAGTTTCTTTAATAGCCAACCTTTCTCTAAGAAAAGTTGGGAGTTCATTATATTTGTAAGGTAGTTTACACTGGTATGCGGTCAACAAGCCTGTCACACCAAAGTCATGCCCTTGTTGCAAGCAGAAACTGAAAGAAAACGTATGCAGTCACGTTTTCTGCCACGCCTTTGAACGCAAACTCGTTTGTGTGGACGGAATTTTCGAAACTCGCTCATTAACAATCAATGTGCCAACTTAATAATGTCATTATGCCTGCTTTGCTATCCAGCTGAGGACAGCTGCTCTAGAAATATATAACGGTTTCGATATTTTCTCGAAAATTCCGTCCATTTTCCCAAATTTTCTGCTGAACAGAATCTGGCGTATCTCCTAGCAGAGCTGTGTATATTTCCATCCATAGGCTTTTGTTGATATTTCCACATTTGCCTACTTGTAACGTCTATACACTGTTATTTAGTTCGTAATATATTATCCGACTCTTCTAATAAAACACTCACATCAATAACACCAAGGCAACTAACTCTGTGTAAACACAATAAATACTGCAAAATGCTGCCTCGCTGTAGTGATTTATTCCTCATCATCGTAGTAAGTGTCACTTCATGCTACTATATATAAAACATAAGCGTGTCTGTTAAAAAGGCTTCAAACCTGATATATAAAATCTCTGATTTACAATATAGCTTTTATGGAGACAAAAAGCACCCTCCACAATTTATAACAATAGGTGAGGGCCGTGTATTGCCAATGATATTTACAACGTTTACAATTTACACATCAGATTTACCTGGAAAAAAATAGTTTATTTTTAGCAGACAATTTTGATCCTTAAGCAAACACGACGAGATCGCTTGTCTGGGTGTACTACAGGACCAAGATTGTGTTTTCAGGGCTCCACCAAGGCCTGCCCTAGTGTAGCCGAGCGTCCCGGGAGGCGGCCTTCACGACGCTTGTATGGGAGGTCGGGAGGCTACACACCCACCCGCACAGTTGTGATCTTGATGATGATAAGAAAATAATTATTACTGAATTATATGATACAGACATGATATCTCCCCTGACCTGAACACATACAAGACTTGTTTTGATTATGATTTCAACTTATCTCCCTAAGTTTCACCACAAATGAATCAAGAAATACTAGTATGATCATTAGTCTCTCTAAATATACACTTGATTCATATTTGGCGTTTGATAACACATCTCTGAGTAATTAGTTCTGCTACACAGACTCAACAATAAGAATCCGCTATGTATAACAGTACAATAGATAACTTTGTGTGTTGCAGGTCCTCTAACAGTGCAGCTCTCACCCACCTGGGGAGACTGACCCTCGTACTGGTGACGCCTTGTGCAGGACCTTTGTGTACTTATCTCATGGCTGACATATCTTTAGTAACAATATTACAGTATATACCCAAGATGTGGGTAACATTCCCGTGTCTTCAAACTGCATGAATATTTTGGCACACTAAACTGCTAAACATTAAGTACTCATCTCTTTTACTGAGGACTTAGGGAAATTTCTCTCACTAGTTAATGCACTAGTGTTTACAAACTTCTTTGATGTTTGTGTTTACCGAGTCCCCTGATAATGCAACACGTCTTGAGCATCAGTGTATACTCCTTCATTTTCTGCATTAATTGTATTCTTTACCTTGTAGGAAAAATTTTAAAGAACGTTTAATGGAAGTCCGTGGTGCGGTCTTTACAATACCACCTGTAAGTCATAGCGTGCATAGTGAAGGTTGCAGTTTTATATAGAAAGTGATGGAGTAACACCGATGTTTTGGTTGTCACTTCCTCAAAGAATTATGTAAACATGAACATCAAGAGACTTTGTAAACACTTTGTACATACACCTAACTCAAGCGTGGGGTGAGGCGGGCGTTGCTAGTGTGAGGGGGGGCCGGGGCATGACGGCCAACTGCGCCACGACGGAACACCAACACTAGAGGTCACCCCAGTCTGCTAGGAGGTGACCACTGGCGTGAGGAGTATGCCAGGGACCTTTAAGTGCCTGGGGTGATGGTCAACTGGTGCAGGTCACTAGGTGCACCGCTTTACCCGGCCCACCACACTCCTGCTTGATAATGTTCATATACAACAGAACTGTCACAAATTGTATGTATATGTATACACATATGAATCTATATATGTGTGTATACATACAGAAAAATGCGTATTTATTGCATGTATTATAGATATATAAATATATGTCATATATATATATATATACAGTATATATAGGACATTTAATAAGGAAACACTGGAACTCGGATAACAAAAAAAGACAGGCGTAGTGTGAACTATCTATAAAATACGGTGATGATGGCGGTGTTCACTACAGATAATGTTAACATCTCCGCTATGCTAGACAGTCTGTTGAGAAGAAGGAGGAGGAGGATTGGAGCGGGAAGGACTGGTTGTGTGAGGAGAAGCTATTGGAGGAGTGAGGTGAGAAAGATTACTAGGGCTTTTATTAACAGCGAGTTTATCGAGTCATTCTCCAGCACAGGTTATGCGAACACATACAGTTTTAAATATTAATTTGCTCGTGGTGTGGGAAGTGTGATGGTGTGTATCGTTTGGAGTTATCGTTTCAATTGAGTTTATTTTTTGTAGATATTTATCGGAAACGGAGCCCCATCGGTCTCTCTCCGTCGACGTTTCAGTGTCGAGTCCCTCTGTGTGAGAGTTTTTGACACCTCGCTGGCAGAAACTCATGATAAAGATGATGTGACGTGTTGGCGTGGTGAAGGTGATACCGCGGGCGTTGAGGTTGCTGGCGGCCACCTTGGTGAGGTAAGGGTAAGAGGCCTTCGCTACAGCTCGTCGACTTCACCGTCTACAAGCAGCCAACATCCTGCAAAGTATGAATCAATAATAAATACATGAGCTGGGTTAAATACACTCCCTCCCTCCTATCATTTTGACTTAAATCTTTCATCTAATTTCTTAAAACTTTCTTGGGTCACTTGATTACTGTTCAAGGAATTATCTCTTGAGTTAAAGGTTAATTAAGGTACACTAAAAGTGTCATGGGTTTCGTTAGGCTTACCCACGCAACCAACTCCAAAGTTTGTTTTACCAGAGATAAGACGCCCGGCGAGGCATAACTGGGACATGTATTTTCCATTAGTGTATGTTAGCCAGCCTTTAGGGGGGTGCGGTGGGCAGTGAAACAGTGTTGTGCTGTTCATCGCTTCACACCCAAAAACCTCATTTTGAGTAGTATCCCCTGGACCATGGCATAGTTAAGACGTCGTCTCCATCCTCTCCCTCCTGAAAGGCGGCGGGACACCACACTACACAGAGTCCTCCACCACCACTCCGTCCTGTGAACCGTCGTAACCTAGATTGTTATCCCCGTGGAAATATCACGTGTGGAAGCCTGGTTGCGACAAAAGCAATCCAGGCTGGTCTATCAAACCTACAGCAAATGGTTAATTACTTCCGCAGCTTGGGGTTCTCTGCATACCCGTCTACAACGACCGTGATCGACACGAGACTAAGTGTGTTAACCTAGGTTTGTTATCGTGAAATATCACGTGTGGAAGCCTGGTTGCGACAAAAGCAATACAGGCTGGTCTATTGCCCTAAGTGGTTAATTCAAGTCACGCTTACCAGTTCTCCTTGCCGAGACAACCGTCTACAGTGACTGTCAGGGACGCGAGACCATGTGTGGTAACCAAGAGTACTTTTTTATTATTCCCCATGAAAAGACGTGAAGCCTGGTTTGCAACAAGAGCAATCCAGGCTGGCAGTAAATGTATCCCAATTAAGGCTCTGTTAAGTCATACCCATAGTAGAATCACACATGTTCCCCAAGTTGAAAATTCCCTCTTTTAGAAGATTAATTTTATTACAGCGTGAACGTGAGTGACTCATATATCCATGCAAATTGTAAATCATTGTATGGAAGCTTGACAAATAAATGTAAGTGCAATTATCTGCCCGTATCTGTGATCCTATCTTATTATTACTAAAGGTAATGACTGATTGGTTATGACAAAGTATAACCAATAACTTAGATGGATGTTGGAAATTAATGGAACTCATTAAATCATCATTTATCAAGTATAAATCATGGAATGTCGGTTAGTGGAGTGAATTCTACGTAGATACACCATAATCTCCTGTAAGTAATCAGTGTGAAGGTATCGAACCTACGGTTAGAAATATAAAACACAATATATTATAATCTTTATATAACATACTCCTCCTATACCACTGATTCACCCAAAACCACGACAATTCTAAAGAAACTCCATGAACACATCCCTCAACCAACCCTCACTCCTCCTCCTCCCTTTTCCCCACTCCTCATGAAATAATAAATGATCATGTTAACTCTTTTTCATCCAACACCGCTGACTGTGTAACTTGACAGGTGAAGATGATCACAAACCTCTTATATCTCAGTACTTACAGTGCCAGTCTCGACCCTAACACAGTGCCTTGTCAGATGCCACGCCTGTTGGCACAATGTTTGTGTGGACTAATTAATGACGGAGCACTGACTTTATATACGTACCCCGTCGTCCCCTCGTGAAACAAAACTAAATATGCTGGTGAACCTCTTTAATTTTACGATCACCATGCAGCGTAAAGATGAGCCTTCAAGAAAGGCGAGGTAAGGAGTGAGCTTCTTCAGGCTGTTTGTTGCCGGTGCGTAGTAAGTGTTACCTCCTTTCACCAATAGTCCTACATTAAGGATCACTTTTAATACACTAGAGAATGAAGACGGTAATATATATTACGTGCTGTTAACATGGATCTCGATGAAAAGGGTAAACAACGTAGGAGTGAGAGTTGCATCAGCCTCAACGTGATAGTCAGCACCTTGTGACCATCAGGCGTCGTGTTCAGCCTGCGAGGACGCCTTGATCACGGGGATGAGTGAACCAGTTGGCAGAAAGACAAATATAATGTGTGATCGTTCCACTTAGCGGCGACCCAAGCAGGTATCCTCTATCATTACCACCTGGCGTAGCTGACGTCACTCCTGATTCCATTCATTCAACCATTGCTCTAACAGAGTCAATGCCAGTCACGACCTGCACTGCTGATGGAGGGACGCGGTAGATATTGAACGCCCTCAACACGGCGTGGCTGGCACGACTTACTAATCACTGAAAGAGGTCGAGCTTATCCTGTAATGCTGACACATCGCCTACAGCTCTGCCGAGGCGTGACCTCTCACGACCGGATTAGGTCGTTTGATAGCGCAGTGTGTGACACCGATAGTTAATGAAACCAGCAGGTTATCCTCACCTCAAGACTTTTAAATACACTTGTTAATATCCAGTGTTCCCTATATTCTCCACCCGCACGTGTAGCCACAACACCACGGCGTATATGTGTTATAAGTCTTATAATTTTCCTAAATACAAATATCAGCTCTAGTTCCTAATCTTGAAGTAATATTTATGAACATTAAAACAAGTTTAAGATTAACCTTCCAGTCTCATAACAGTTGAGTACTGTAAGGTGACACCCTATTAAGACGACAGCAGCTGTTTAATGCGACAGAGGTGTCCTAGCAACAAGGGGGTGCCGTTATGCAGCGCCTCGTGAGGGGATGATGCGTGGAGTATTTGTTGTTGCTTGAAGGAAACTCCTTTCCTTTCCGCTTCCATATCCCTCCCTCCCCTCCTCTTATTCACCCACACCCTTCTTTTTACCCACACCACCTCCTGCCGACCATTTACCTTACACCACCAACCTCAAAGACCCTCCCCCCCCTCCCCCAAGTCTGGACGGAGACATGGGTTGCAGGGTGAGGTATCCGCCAACCCGTCAAACAACTGGGTGACTCAGCTGTAGGGGAGTATAGGGGAGGACTAGCTCTCTCGAGGGTGGTGGAGAGGACCAGGGTGTTCACTGAGCTGGGTGTGGGAGCAGGTTTGTTGTCGTGAGGGCGGGGAGGAACAAGGAGGAGGGTAGTTGTGTTCCGCTGGGGTAAGGAAGTTTTTGTTCTGATTGGAGTTACCAATGGAAGAAGACGCCAAGAAACATACCACTCTGTATATTTGCCCTCCCAATAAAGTCGAACATTTCCTTATCCAACACCTCCTGCTTAGAATCGTCCTGCGTCTGGCGGAGAAGGAGACCAGGTGTCCATACCTTCCAGAGTTATCTGGTGCACCTGAAGGTCTACCCGCTAACGTCACTCGTTCAAATTATTATAAAACACAAAGATTTTCTGTTTCCTCAGACAACACTGAGACACATCGACCAATCGTCTTCAAACCAGGAGTTCATTTCTCGGGGCTGCACGTAGTGTGCTGGACTGGGTTAGGTGTCCCTCTGTATACTTACGACACATACTGTACTGTATACGATGTTCCTGTTTACTTTGGTCATAAATGTAACTCCGGGATATATTGTGCATTAGGAGTGAAATATATCTCAGGTATGCATGATCTGACTAAAATTAATCATTGGTTATAAACAGACAGACTCCTGTGATCAATGCGATCTGTTTAACTGTATAAGAATAACTGTTTAACATACTAAGAATTTTTACTTAAAACATCATTCTTAACAGATCAAGATCAAACTGTTAAAACGACGTGAGTAAAAATTAATGTTGGGATGCTGTTGCACCTAAATACGAAAATAAGAAGTATTAGAGTAAATAGACCATTAAACAAACTATAACTCAACACAGTAACAAGCACCAGTTAGTGTAAAGCCTCGTACACACCAAGATACATTTTCTAGAAACAGTCGCGCAATAATGTTTCTGGGCTGTCTCGCGACTGTTTCGCAACAGTCGCGAGACAGCCCAGAAACATTGTTTCACGTCCAGACCAAGCTTTAGGGGAACAACCAATTCTTTAAGAATCACTCAACTTTTTATGTTCTCTCCTAAATTGTGTCTTTACGGATTTTTTTTTCATTTCAATAAAATTAACATTATGCTCATTTGCAAGTTTCTATGTGGCGTCTTTCTTTTTTCCTCGGGTTTTATAGTCTGGGCATGTGACACCCCACAAAGAAGGTGTAGCATGTAGCATCTCAATTACAGAAAGTGTTGTTTCAGGTGTCTACATTATGCTGAAAATAAAAGAAATCAACTATATGTATTACTATTTACAAAACAAACAATAATGCATGACGTTCTTAAGTGTCAGCAACCCACCTCACAGATCACAAGCTGAACGTCAACTGATCCTCCGTGTTGCCAAATGAGTCCAGATTGAACAACTTTGAATCGTGTTTCTCAAATGGGATGGGAAACAAGAAACATCCGAAATCGTGTTTCTGGGCTGTTGCGAGACAGTCGCGTAGCAAATTTGGATTTTTATGAGACAATGTTGCACGACAATGTATCTCAGTGAGTACGAGGCTTAATAGTGGATATCAACACATTGTGTCCTGACACACCTACCATCATTTACTGAGCACGTCGACACATGACCTACCTAGAAGAAAGTGGTGATCCAGGGGTCGTTGGGCGTGGTAGGGGAGCCGAGGAAGCAGTTGTAGTGGGCGGAGCGGGTGCCTGAGATGCCACCGCCGTTGTAATGCTGCTGGACGCTGCTGGAGTTCTGAGGTCGAGGCGACCCATTAGGTCCTGTGTCTCCATGGATGCCCGTCGAGGTGTAGCACTGGAGGGTGTAGTTCCTGTCGTGGTTGTTGTCCCAGAACTCTTGGCCAAGGGTTTGGTATCGTACGCAGAAGGCGAGGGCGCCGTTGTCTTGTAGGAAGCTGCCCCACAGCAGGAAGGAGAAACGGTCGGTGAGGCCGTCGTAGGACCCTGGCACGTAGGTGGCCGTCGCCTGTGTGAGAAGACCATGATTAGTTGGGGGGGGGGGGCGGCTATTAAGAGAACCTCTATAAATCTTACAATAATTTCCTATCATACATTTCATAACTCTCGCCCCGTGAGATAAGATAAGGTTTGTGGTGGAGGACTAGAGTAATGCAAGCGTTGCGATATGAGTGAGTCATTCAACACAACTTACACCTCTGACAACTACGTCAGCACAAGATGGATCTCAACGAAAATTGGTAATGGAATTAGGGATCAGGAAATGAGTCAGCCAAGTAAGTCGAGAAAATTGGATGAAGTCCAGGACAGAATTACATCACTGGTCGACTTCCTCTTAGACTTAAACCATCATCATATGAATTAGTTGTTACACTTTTTTCCTTGTGATTTATTTTCCCTGTTTATTATTATTTAAGGATATGGTGATATTACATTTAAGAACGATGTAATCTTGTGAGTTAGTTTTTTATAGCGTATCTTGACAGTAAATCTATGTGTTTGGTCTGATATTTTACATTGTAAATCCTTCAAGACATTTTTATAACCATTGACACACATGATGGCGGAAGTTGCTGCTGAAGAAATAATTAACACATGGCACGCAGCAGACTTAGTATAAACAGTATCTCCAGTGTATATATTTCTTATTATGTTTATGTTGTGTATTAAGTATGATGTATGTTGTGTATGATGATGATGATGATAATGGTAATGGTAAAATTTCGACATAAATTTAAAATAGGTTAGGTTTTTTCTTCTCGCCAACCATGTATATTGAAACACCCCATTACCCTTCGACCGCCCACCTCATCTCCTCTCACAACCTGGGATAAAAAAAACATATCATGAGTACCGTTAATGGCATCAGGGGAACACATGACAACTGTTCGAGCTTAGACCACACCCAGGTGAAGTGATAAGGCCTTTATTGTTGATGATCCAGGTATGTGGCGGATGTGTAGAGATTACCAGGTGACTCTCAGGTCTTAGAGGTGTAAAATGTCTTAAAGCACCTGCCCCCCTTCCTTCCCTCAGTCTTAATGGCCCCTCAGTCTTCATGACCCCTCAAGTCTTCATGACCCTTCAAGTCTTAATAACCCCTCAGTCTTAATGACCTATCCAGTCTTAATGACCCCTCAGTCTTCATGATCCCTCAAGTCTTCATGACCCTTCAAGTCTTAATAACCCCTCAGTCTTAATGACCTATCCAGTCTTAATGACCCCTCAGTCTTCATGATCCCTCAAGTCTTCATGACCCTTCAAGTCTTAATAACCCTCGTGCTTAATGACCTATCCAGTCTTTAATGGCCTCAGTCTTCATGATCCCTCAAGTCTTCATGACCCTTCAAGTCTTAATAACCCCTCAGTCTTAATGACCTATCCAGTCTTAATGGCCCCTCAGTCTTCATGATCCCTCAAGTCTTCATGACCCTTCAAGTCTTAATAACCCCTCAGTCTTAATGACCTATCCAGTCTTAATGGCCCCTCAGTCTTCATGATCCCTCAAGTCTTCATGACCCTTCAAGTCTTAATAACCCCTCAGTCTTAATGACCTATCCAGTCTTAATGGCCCCTCAGTCTTCATGATCCCTCAAGTCTTCATGACCCTTCAAGTCTTAATAACCCCTCAGTCTTAATGACCTATCCAGTCTTAATGGCCCCTCAGTCTTCATGATCCCTCAAGTCTTCATGACCCTTCAAGTCTTAATAACCCCTCAGTCTTAATGACCTATCCAGTCTTAATGACCTATCCAGTCTTAATGACCCTTCAGTCTTAATGATCACCAGGTCTTACACAACAATCATTACTTCCCATTTGTATGTGTTGCTCTGAATGCTCCTAGAGTCTCAGTCTAACAGTCTACCTCTAATGTCTGCTGTCTGCCTCCTGTTGTTTGTCGTCTGCTGTCTGCCGCCACTGTGTCTATCTTCTGGCGGTCTGCTGTCTGCCGCCACTGTGTCTGCCTTCTACACTGTCTGCCATATAAGCTCTCTCTCTCTCTCTCTCTCCCATCTCCATTTTACAGTCACTAGCTACTGTCTCAATACAGAGGGCGAGGGAGGGATCATGACAGTGCTACAATAGGTTCGGTAGTAAGCGAATAACTTGTTCCTGTGACCTTGACCTTTATTGTCCTACTACTTGAGGGTTGATTCTGCTTACAGGAGCGAGAACACTACCCGGATATATTATCTTATCTGCCCTTTAAGCTGTTATCACTGTTTCTCTCTCTCTCTCTCTCTCTCTCTCTCTCCGCCTTGCTGCGTGTGGTGGTTGTGGTGATGATGGTGGTGGTGATGGTTGTTGTGTTGGTGATGTTTAGGGTGGTGGTGGTGATGGTTGTTGTGTTGGTGATGTTTAGGGTGGTGGTGGTGATGGGTGTTGTGTTGGTGATGTTTAGGGTGGTGGTGGTGATGGTTGTTGTGTTGGTGATGTTTAGGGTGGTGGTGGTGATGGTTGTTGTGTTGGTGATGATGGTGGTGATGGTTGTTGTGTTGGTGATGTTGATAGTAATGAATGACGGTGGTGGTGAAGGTGATAATTATGTTAGTGAAGAGGGTATAAATGATGATGATGATGACGATAATGATGAGGACCATGTGGACCCAGATAATGGATGACGATATCAGACTTGCCGACACTTATGATGATAGTGAAGATAACAAGTACTACTTTTAATGATCTTTACAACAACTACATCAACACAGGACTACGGTCAGGTGTTGCTCTACCTAAGACACTGACCTAACCTGACCTAACATAACATAACAAATAATCTAACATAACATAATCTAATCTAACCTAACCTAACCTAACTTTATCTAACCTTACTTAACCTTCCTTTAACTTACTTAAACTAACCTAACCCTATCTAACCTAACCTTACTTAAATTACCCTAACCTAACCTAACCTAACCTAACCTAACCCTATCTAACCTAACCTTACTTAAATTACCCTAACCTAACCTAACCTAACCTAACCTAAGCTAATGAAGTCGACTACAACAAAAATCACATGAAGATCAGACACCCAAGCTTGTTTCATCTGACGACCAAACACCCTAACTCTACCTGGTGGTTAGGTTAGGTTAGGTTAGGTTGTTAGCGTCGAGGTGTTTGTATGGCCCAATTTGTAGGATAGGATGCTTGGTGTGACTCTTATGGGGGGAGGAGGTTCATGGTTGTCGTGCGTAATATTATTATTAAATAGGATGTTTATTCTGTGTTTATGGGTAGAAAAATTCAGGTGTGTTTTAGTTAATAGAGACACAATCCATTACCTCACACACACACACACGCACAAACACGCACACGCACACGCACACGCAGTGGATAGTTCACCATCCCTGGACTGAAGTACTTAGCGTGGATGACGTGGAAACCAAATGGATAAATTATACCAACACCACCACGGAAGCTCACCACCACTTCTTCCCGAAGTCCGTCAGATCTCACCCAGCTGACTTGCCCTGGATCACACCTCGGATCAAAAGACTTATGCAACAGAGAGACATTTCATCTCAATGACCACATCCGCTACAGGTCACTTCGCAACCAGTCATCCGCGAAATACGCACTGCAAAGAAGTCCACTACCCAACCAAATTACAACACCTGAAGCAGACCAACATCAGTCAATGGTATGGTAAGCTTAAAGAACTCTGTGGACTAAACAATAAGACACACCCCTCCTTCCTTAGCCATCTCACTAATGTTGACGCAGAGCAAACAAATAACCATTTCGCTACTATATGCCAGACGCTCCCGGCTTGACACAACCACTCTCCTGCTTACCTACCAGCCCCCTTCCCACTGACTTAGTAGAAGAATTTGAAGTAGCAAAACGCCTGGACAAACTAAAATTAAAACGCTCTACCACCCCCATTGACTTACCAATGAAACTCTTCAAGGAGTTCTCCGGAGCTTGCTAAACCCCTCTGCTCCATCATCAATGCTTCTCAGTCAAGCCAGATGCCCAGCTGACTGGAAGACCTCTTATGTATCACCAGTGCCCAAGTCAACCAGCCCACAATTAAATATTATTGTCACCCCAATACCCAGCCTAATCTGTGAAAGTTTGTGTTCGACTGGGCTGATATTGCAGGAGTCGTAGACCCTCAGCAATTTGGCAACATGAAAACTTCCTCCACCACTCACTGTCTTGTCAGCTTTCTCGATTACATATACCCATCTCGAGAAACGAAAAACGTCTTAGCTGTCGCCTTCATTGATTTCACTAAAGCGTTCGACCTAGTCGACCACAATATAATCATCAAAGCTATTGACCTCGGGCTTCGGAGAAGTCTTATACCATGGCTTACAGACTTCCTCAGTGACCGACGCCAAGCTGTACGCTTCCGAGGGGCTGTCTCCACCTTTCAGTCACTCACCTGTGGCGTCCCCAAGGCACCAAGATGGGACCACTCTGCTTCCTTATGCTCATCAATGATGCCCTAAGAGAAACCCCTGCTCGCTGGAAATATGTCGACGACTCCACCATTGGGATCAGCGTCAACAATTCTGCTCCCAACTATACCGCCCTTCAGGATTTATTGAACAGTCTCCAAAACTGGGCCACCAACAACCATGTCACCATCAACCACCAGACCATGGTTATGCACATCAACCTCTCCTCCGACATTGTCCCACCTCCTTCCATTACCTAGGTCCGAACACACTCCAGGTTGTAGATTCCACGAAGCTCCTCGGCGTCACCATAGACAACAAACTAAATTGGAAACCACACGTCAGTGAAGTTGTCAAATCCTCCAGTTTCCGTCTCCACCTCCTCCGCCGACTCAAGTCCCTCGGAGTTCCTGCACACGAGCTCCTCAGTGTTACACAACATTCATACTTCCCAAGCTCACCTATGCCTCCCCACCTGGTCTTCCTCCCTAAATGCCACACAACGTAAACACCTAGAAAAAGTGCAAAAGAGGGCATGCAAGATTATTCTCTCCTTCCTACTCCACATATCAAGCGCTCAACACACTGACCCTTTCGACT